GAAATAATGCCTGAAGATTATCCAAACTCAGAGCAACATCAGCATGATGGCAAACTAAGAACTAGACCAGGGGTCCTCAAACTTTTTAACCAGGGGGCCAGTTCACTGTCCCTCAGACCATTGGAAGGCCAGACTATAGTTAAAAAACAAACAAACTATGAACAAATTCCTATGCACACTGCACATATCTTATTTTGAAGTAAAAAAGCAAAACGGGAACAAATACAATATTTGTATTTGCATGTGGCCCGGGGGCCACAGTTTGAGGACCCCTCAACTAGACCCTCATGCCCCCATAGAAACACCAAATAAACAGTAACATTTGGACCAAAGTAGCTCTGGGAGAATTATAGAAACCAGTTAGGAAGCTGCAACAACCAAGTAAATACCTAACCAAGAGAAAGAGTCACTCAAAATGGTAGGAAATTCCATGTTTTCTCTCCACACTGAGTAGCATGATGAAATCCTGTGCCTTCTAGCTCTGTCCAGCCGGGGATGTGAATCACTCCTTTGTCCAGTTTAACCACGCTGTATATGTTACCCAACCGTTAGTCACTTAGTACTCATCTTGATTATCAGGATCACTTGTCACAGCATTTATATTCAAGTAACTCTTATGTTACTTTAATGGCTCCAAAGTGCAAGAGTAGTGATGCTGACAAAGTAGATATGCCAAAGAGAAGCCCTAAACTACTTTATCCTAGTATGTATGCATAGGAGAAAACAGAGTGTGTGTGTGTGTGTGTGTGTGTGTGTATGGTATATGGTATATGTACATGAGAAGACATGGTCTACACGTGTTTTTAATAAACAACCTTATTTAATCAAAAGGAGTATTTAACTTAATGGGAAATAGTCTACATCAATAGGTAGGTACTTTTAGAAATTATCCTTATTTGCTATTTGTAGTTCCATACTCTGTGATTTCAGGGATCCATGAGGGTGTTAGGACAGAGTCCCTGCAGATAAAACCAAGAGATAGTACAGCATGCCTACCAAAAAGGCCAAAATCAAAATAAGAGAGATACTACCAAATGTCGGCATGAATGCGGAGGAATCTAAACTCTCATACATCATTAGTAGTAGAAGAAGCATGACCTCGTTGGGAAAAGGTCTAACAGTTTCCTATAAAAGTAAGCATATACCTGCAATTTATCCAACAATTATATTCCTAAGTATTTGCCCAAGAAGAATAAAAATATATACTTAATACTAAGATTTCTGCACAAATGATTATATGTAGTAACTTTATTTAACAGCCCAAACTAGAAACCACCCACACATCCATCAACAGTTGAATGGATAAAAAATTTTGGTTCATTCAAGTAAAGGAATACTACTCAGCAATAAAAAGAAATTAACTAATATAACACACACCAACATGAATGACTTTCAGAAATTAAGAAATGAATTTTTCTCAGAGAAAAATCAACCAAAACACAAAGGAAGAAGAGTTAAACATATGAAAAAGTCTTAATACCAATAATCATACAAATAAACAGTAAAACAATGAGCTACTATTTTTTGTCCACTGAATTACAAAAAGTACATAAAAGAATGACAACACCCAGTATTGTCAAGGGCAGGAAAAGAAATCTATAGAAAGCTATAGCCTGAAGTATAAAATGCTATAGCATTTCCTGAAGGTAATCTGGATATACATAGCAAAAGCCTCCAACATACACATACTCTTTTTCAACTTCCAGGACTATCCTATCTAATAACAGACAAACATGGTAATTGACCATATCTTCGCTACGCCTCCCATTGGCTAATCAGCGTGATATGCAAACTAACTGCCAACAAAGATGGAAGCTAATTTGCATACTGCAGGCAGGGCAGGACAGTGCCATCCCACCTGCCCTGCTGCCATCCAGGCCTGCTATCTGCGACCCGGGGCAGCGGGCGTCCATATGAGACCCAACCAGGGTGGCCGGGTGGGGCAGCAGTGATTGGCCAGCCCACCCGGGCGTCCCGTGTGTGACCTGACCTGGGGCAGCGCCCCAACCCCAGATCAGCCCAGCCGTGTGCACGACCCAGGGAGGCGGGGCAGGCACCGAGGGATCGGGCCTGCCATCTGCCACCCGAGGAGCAGGCCTAAGCCAGCAGGCGGTTATCTCCCGAAGGGTCCCAGACTGTGAGAGGGCACAAGTCGGGCTGAGGGACACTCCCCACCCCACCCCATCCCCACCAGTGCACAAATGGCTAATATGCAAATCGACCAAATGGCAGAACAACCGGTTGCTATGATGCACACTGACAACCAGGGGGCAGACACTCAACGCAGGAGCTGTCCCCTGGTGGTCAGTGTGCTCCCACAGGGGAGCACCACTCAGCCAGAAGCTGGGCTAGAGGCTGGGGAGCACAGTGGCGGTAGCAGGAGCCTCTCCCACCCCCAACGGCAGGTGGATATCCCCCAACGAGTCCTGGACTGTGAGAGGATGCAGGCTGGGCTGAGGGACACCACCCCCCAATGCACAAATGTCGTGCACTGGGCCTTTAGTACTAAATAAGAAACTAAGACTAATGCAGCCCAACCAGCGTGGTTCAGTGGTTGAGTGTCGACCTATGAACTAGGAGATCACAGTTCAATTCCCGGTCGGGGCACATGCCCAGGTTGTGGGCTTGATCCCCAGTGTGGGGCATGCAGAAGGCAGCTGATCAATGATTCTCTCTCATCACTGATGTGTGTGTGTGTCTCTCTCTCTTCCTCTCTTAAATCATTAAACATATTTTTTTAGGAAGACTAATGCAGAAGAATACTCATAGCATTATTATTTATAATACAAAATAGAATAAAGGTTAAATTTTATATGTCCATATAACAAAATAGTAAGCAGCCATTAAAAGTCAAGTCATCTGAATAGTTAATGAAATCAAATAATGTTATTTTAGCCATCACTACTACAATTTCCTTCCTAGTCTCCAAAGCAAAAGTAAAATATTTAGGTTTTTGTTCAATGACAAAACAATGATCATGGTATAATGTTTAATTTCAAAAAAAACAGTATATAAAACCATATACAAGACACATATTATTTTTTAAATGTATGTGTGCACACATGCACACACAAATATACCAAAACATTATCTCCCAATGGTGAGGTCATGGGTGACTTTTGTTTTGTTTGTTAATCCACACTTGAGGATATTGTTCCATTAATTTTTTGGGAGAGTGGAAGAGAGAGGGAAAGACAGAGAGAAATATTGATATGAGAGAAACACATCAATTGGTTGCCTCTTGCACAAGCCCCAACCAGAGTCCAGGCCAGGTAGGAGCCTGCAACTAAGATACATGCCCTGGGTCAGAATCGAACCCGAGAACTTTTGGTCCATAGGCTGACGCTCTATCAATTGAGCCAAACCAGCGAGGGTCATGTGCGACTTTTTATGAACCATTTCTGTATTTTCTAAATTTTCTATAATAAATATACATTACTTTCATAATTATTTTAAAAATCAGTATTTCTTTAAATTACCTAAAAGTATATACAAAAAGAGGTGTTTTTTTTTTAATATATTTTATTGATTTTTTACAGAGAAGAAGGGAGAGGGATAGAGAGCCAGAAACATCAATGAAAGAGATGGATCAGCTGCCTCCTGCATGCCCCCCAGTGGGGATGTGCCCGCAGCCAAGGTACATGCCTTTGACCAGAATCGAACCTGGGACCCCTGAGTCCGCAGGCCGACGCTCTATCCATTGAGCCAAACCAGTTCGGCTACAAAAGGAGTTTTAAAATGTATTTTCTTCCCTGGCCAGGTGGCTCTGTTGGTTGGAGTGTCATCCTGTACACCAAAAGGTTATGGGTTTGATTCCCAGTCAGAGTGGGTAAGGGAAGCAACCAATCCATGTTTCTCTCTCACATAGGTGTTTTTTTCTCTCTCCCTCTCATCCCCTCACATCTTTCTCTCCCTTCATCTCTCTCTAAAAATCAATAAAAACATATCATCAGGTGAGGATTTAAAAAAACACTTATTTTGTAATCTAAATTATCTGCTATTATCTTGGTCACAAGCATTTCAATGTTATCCTATATAATAAAAGCTTAATATGCAAATTGTCCCCTCAAGCAGTGGTTCAACCAGGAAACGAGAAGTTCGACCACTTGCTGTGATGTGCACTGACCACCAGGGGGCGGCATGGAACATGGTGGGCGTTGGCAACGCAGTGCTGGCAGGGAGCGGCAGTGGAGGCGCTGCTGGCCCTGATGGGCCCCAACGAGAGCAAGACCACGGCAGAGTGGGACCGTGGTGGGATGGCGAGACAGATGAGCAGGCGGCGCCAGGCCAAGGTGGGTGTGAGCAGGGGCCTGATCGCCCCGCACCACCGGTGGCAATGGGGGGCGGGGCCGCTGCCGAGCTAGGTGCTGAGGGAGCTGGGAGGAGGGCCCAGCCCACACCGTCCTGCAGACAGTAACCAGTGGCGGTGGCAGCAGGGGCCTGGCTCCAATCGATCGCCCTGCAGGCAGGTTGATGGAGCAGGTGAAGGGATGGTGCCAGGCCACAGCAGGGTGCCAGGTGGGACTGCAAGGCTGGGGGCATGAGCTGGAGCCTGATCTCCACAGAACACCCCGAGGGACCCCACCTGTGCACAAATTCATGCACCAGGCCTCTACTGTAAGTATAAAAATTCCACATGCAAAATTGTTTTTTGTTACTAACCCCAAACAAGCCATGGCTGTCCAGAGGTGGAAGATCTACAGATAATGACATCTCATTAACACTGCCATCCATAAGGTGCAGGATAGTATGTATATTAAGATGATCCTTTTGTGTCTTAGAATTTTTAAAGAATATTTCAATAATATAGAGACACTTATGTGCTAATATGTCTATAGTTCTGTTTTGTTTTGTTTTGTTTTCAGCTTAGAATTAAAAGAAACCACCAGAAATGGTTATCTTTTTGGTAGAAGAAATTTGTATCTACTGTTTCAATTATGAACCATTTCTGTATCTTCATTTTTCTTTTAAACTTTTGGCTTGTTTATTTTGCTACTTACCATGGAGCACTTCTCTAGTACTTCCTCCTGGAACTTCAGGAATCGTTCCTGAACCTCAGCTTCATTGAGGAAAAAGGAAAGAAAGTGAGTGAAGGGCTGCTTTCTTCTAAAAGTGAGCAAAAGAACATCAATCCGAGTTCGAGCTGAAATTACACCACTTCGATGCTGGCCAGTGATTACTGCAAACAAAAAAATATACCATTAACGATATTTATACGATAAATATTTATACAAAAAAATATACGATAAGCATTTGAGGTAAGATAGGCGACCTCCTGATACTGTCATATGTGGGGAGCTGCTGAATGTGTACATAATTCTAAACAGCAGACAGAATCAAGAGTAAGAAACTTAAAATGAATTCAGTCTAAGCAGATGAGGTCTTAAAACAAAAAATCCTTAAAGACCAGCTGATGAACTAGAAAAATGAGCTACAAAGCAAACCCTCATACTTTGTTGGTGGAAATGTAAAATGGTGCAGCTGCTATGAAAAAGTCTGGCAGTTCCTTAAAAAGTTAAAAAGGGCCTGGCAGTGTAGGCTCAGCAGTTGAGCTTCGACCTATGAACAGGTGGCCATGCTTCAATTCCCAAGCCTGGTCTGGGGGCTTGATCCCCAGTAGGGGGCATGCAGGAGGCAGCCAATGAATGATTCTCTCTCATCTTTGATATTTCTCTCTCTCTTCCTCTCTCAAATCAGTAAAAATATATATATTTTTTTAAGTTAAAAAGGAATTACCATATGACTCAGCAATTCCCACACCTAGATAGAAACCCAGCCTAGCCAGTTTGGCTCAGTGGACAGAGCATCGACCTATAGACCAAAGGGTCCCAGGTTCAATTCCAGTCAAGGGCACATGCCTGGTTGCAGGCTCAATCCCCAGTAGGGGGCGCACAGGAGGCAGCCAATCAATGATTCTCTCTCATCATTGATGTTTCTATCTCTCTCTCCCTCTTCCTTCCTCTCTGAAATCAATACAAATATATTTTTTAAAATAAAATAAAGCCCTAGCTGGTTTGGCTCAGCGGATAGAGCATTGGCCTATGAAGTGAAGGGTCCCAGGTTCGATTCCAGTCAAGGGCACATGCCCAGGTTTTGGGCTCGATCCCCAGTGTGGGGCGTGCAGGAGGCAGCGGATCAATGATTCTCTCTCATCGTTGGTGTGTCTATCTCCCTTTCTCTCCAAAATCAATAAAAATATAAAACTAACTAAATAAATAAATAAAATAAAATAAAAATTATTTATATATTACTATAGGATAGCAAAAATGGGGAACATATTCAACTGTCAATGGTGATTAGGTCTGGGTTTCCTATAATAAAAGATTTCCCTTTATACCAGTATATAATTTCTGCAAGTTTTCATGTTTAAAGCATACAGTAATTATAAAATTGGGGGGGGGGAATAAATAAACTTAAATGCAATTATAAAATATTTCAATATTTGTAACTTGAACTTTAAAGCTTAAGGAAAGACCTAAGTTTTTTATTTGTAAGTCTTTTTTTGTTGTTGTTAACCCTCACCCAATGATATTTTTTCCATTGATTTTTAGAGAGAGAGGAAGGGAAGGAGGGCCGAGGAAAGAGAAAGAAACTTCGATGTGAGAGAAACACATGGATTGGCTGCCCCCCACACAAGCCCTGACCAGGGCCAGGAATTGAACCTGCAACCCAGGTACAAGCCCTTGACTGGGAAATCAAACCCTCAACCCTTCAGAGTGCGGGCCAATTCCCTAACCACTAGGCCAAACCAGCTATGGCTTTATTTGTAATTCTAATGAACTGAATGTTTATTTTTTAAAAGTCCTTTATAAATGTCATTGAAGTTCTTAGGCTGGAGTTTACTGAAGTTACAAGATGCTGGGGAAAACTCTAGCACTGTGCTGTCCAATACAGGAGTCCACATGCAGCTAGTTAAACTAGAGGTTAAATGAATTAGAATGAAATAGAACTACAAATTCAGTTCCTCAGTCACACTAGCCACATTTCAAGTACTGGCAGTCACATGTGCCAGCGGCTCCTGTGAGGGACAGGGCAGACACAGAACATACCATCATCACAGGAAGCTCTTTTGGACAGCCCTACTCTAAAGTCAACTGTCACTTATCTGTCACAGTGATTATCCTTACATAGCACAAAATAAGAAGAGTACTTAAATTTTTTTTCTCCTAAAACAATACAATCTGTGGGTGTTTATGGAAAATAGATTATTGAAGGTTGCTGAACTTAGTTGATTTTTTAGAAGTCCTATAGTTTTAGGATGAATTTTTAAAAAATTTGTCCCCACACTGACCCTCACTCAAAGCTGTTGCCCTTGGTTCACCCTGATGTTCAGTACAGACATTTTCTGACTGGTTTTATATCACCCAACTATTTTTCCTCACCCGAGCAGTTACTTGAATCACGCTGGCATTTTAATCACTACTCAGAGTCTACAAAGCAAGGTAAAAACAAGCAAACCCTCATGGAAAGGGCTGGACTTCATTTCAAATTTGCAGGTCTCACTGGTTTCCTCTAATTCTAACTTGAAACAATTCACACCCTCCATTTCAAGCTACTGAAGCATAAAATAAATCAAATCACAATGAAATCCGGGAGCTTTATCCCATCAGTGCCAGGTAAAGTATAAAATGAAGGCCGAGGTATTCAATCAAGATAAGGTTGTATAATTACATCTTTCTCCATTTGGTAGATTGATACTGATAAATCACAAAAAGGCCAATAGCTACAGAACCTCATAACAAACATAGTCACTAAACACCTCAGTTGGGTTACATTATTCCATACACATACAAAAATGATTGCAAATATAACGTATACACTGGGTCTCACCAATTTCTCCTTCTTGTCCAGGCTTAGGAATGCTAATAGAAGTTTTGGTCTCCACCTCTAGTTTCTTCTTAGTGTCCCCTCTCTTTCCAACTATATGTCTATAATATAAAGAAAAAATTAATTACTGGAAGGAGATTGGGCAAAAATATACCAAAATAAAGAATTCCATTATGTCTAAATCACCAGATACTCCATTACAGAAAAGTGCTTCAGTGAAAGCTCAATACATGTAGAGGAACTTACAAGTCATATAGTTTTGTTTTGGTTTTGTGGGTATTTTTTTGTATTGTTTTGTTTTAATTTTAGAGAGAGATAAGGGGAGAGGAAGAGAGAGAGAGAAACATCAGTGAGAGAGAAACATTGATTGGCTGCCTCCTGCATACCCCCTACTAGGGATCGAGCCCATAACCCAGGCCTGTGCCCTGACAGGAATCAAATTGGTGACATCTTAGTTCATGGGTTGATGCTCAACCACTGAGCCACACTGGCCTGGAACAAGTCATATACCTTTACAGAACATACAGCATTACACTCATTGACAAAAGGATGTCCTACAGCCAAATTCAATGTAAAGGAATAATTACTATGCCTAACACCTGTTTGCTTCTTAAAATTACATTAAAATCTGAGTCTGCACTTGACTGAAAGGAAAGCTGACATAGTCTCAAAGGCAATTCCAGCAACCAATGGGACTACAGTTTGAAGGGGGAGAGCCTTGTCCTTTTGGAGTACAAGTTAACTACATTATGAATTCATCCTAAGGGAACTGTCCTTAGTTAATTAAATAAGGGTACAGAGCTTAGCAAAGAGTAGCATCCACCATTCAGGATGGATTCAAAAGCACAGAGGATAAACAGTAAACCGCAGGAGGCTGAATTCACACGAACAGGTTTTATTTGGGAGAGTTTACCTAAAAATTTGGAAATTTCACCTAAATTTAGATTTTCAGGTTCTATAGATAAGTTAGAAGATATGACAACAACAGACTGAAGCCTATTCTCATCCCTAAAAATGGAACATGAGCTCATCATGAATCCCATCACTCCCTAATATCTTTCACCTACTCCACCTGATTATCTATAGATTCATTTATACTACTTGCCTAGCCCTCCTAGTATAAATAATTCTGACATTCCAAAGTTATCTCCTGGAACCCATAATAATTAGATTTGTTACAATGAATAAGACTACTGGATCCCAGGAGATAAGTTTCAGTATCTATAAAGCATTAAGAGACCATCACTGGACTATAAAGTTAAGAGAAAAACTCTCCCATCATCAACAGTATTTTGGCTTCTATGACTTTAATACAGTACCCAGTAGCATGGGTGACTATGTCTAAAACTGTCCATTTGCTTTAATTTTTTTCAATATTATTTTATATTCGTTTTAGGTGTGCAGCATAGTGGCTAGAGTCTAGCCACTAGACGATCATATACTTTACACAGTGATCCCCTAATATTTCAAGAACACACCGTGTATTAAACACACAGTGATCCCCTAATATTACAAGAACCCATATTGTATTAAACACATAGTTAATACAATATTACTGACTATATTTCCTACATTGTACTTTACATCCCCATTACTATTTCATAACTACCAATTTGTACTTCTTAATCCCTTCACCTTTTCATCCAACCCCCCAACTCCCTTCCCCTCTGGCAACCATGAGTATCTATAAGTCTATTTCTTTATTTTTTTCCTTTATTTTGTTCTTTAGAACAGCAGTCGCCAACCAGTGGTCCGTGGACCACTGGTGGTCTGTGAGATCCAAAAGGTTGGCGATCCCTGGTTTAAGGAAACCTTTGAAGCAATGATTGCCAACTGGTGGTCCACAGACCACTGGTGGTCCATGAGGTCCGAAAGGTTGGCAACCGCTGCTTTAGATTCCACATATAAGTGAAATCATATGGTATTTGTCTTTCTCTGACTTAGTTCACTTAGCATAATACCCATGCTGTTGAAAATGGTAAGATTGCCAAGACCGGTTTGGCTCAGTGGATAGTCTAGGGCATGTACTTGGGTTGCGGGCACATCCCCAGTGGGAGATGTGCAGGAGGCAGCTGATCGATGTTTCTCTCTCATCAAAGTTTCTAGCTCTCTATCTCTCTCCCTTCCTCTCTGTAAAAAAAATCAATAAAATATATTTAAAAAAAAAAAAGAAAAAGAAAATGGTAAGATTTAAGTCTTTTTTATAGCTGAGTAATATTCCATTGTATATATGTACCGCATCTTTTTAAAAATATATATATTTCTTTATTGATTTCAGAGAGGAAGGGAGAGGGAGAGATAGAAACATCAATGATGAGAGCGAATCATTGATCGGCTGCCTCCTGCACGCCCTCTACTGGGGATCGAGCCCACAACCTGGGCATATGCCCTTGGCCGGAATCGAACCTGGGACCCTTCAGTCCGCAGGCCGATGCTCTATCCACTGAGCCAAACTGGCTAGGGCTGTACCACAGCTTTTTTTATCCACTCATCTATTGATGGGCACTTGGGTTGCTTCCATATTTTGGCTATCTATCTTCTATATATATAAAAAGCTAATATGCTAAGTATCCAACCATCCGCACTGACCATCAGGGGGCAGACACTCAATGCAGGAGCTGCCGTGACGTGCACTGGCCATTTACAGAGAAACAGCAGCACGGACCTGGCACCCACAAAGCAACACCTGGCTTCCCCCAAGTGGGACACAAGCCCTACCACCACTCCAGAGCAACAGCCCACCAAATTGCAACTGACACTGGCGAGACCCCATGGCACAAAATGCGGCCCCCAGCCCAGCCCAGAAACGGTGGCTGTGGGCCCCAGGTAATAACGTCATGTAGCAACGCCTGGCTTCCTCTCCCTAGCAACTAGACTCCTTGGAGTTTCTTCAGCCCAGGAACACAACTTGCTTTATAGCCAGTTGCAAACATTTTACACTTTAAGCAAACGTCTGTGAAGCGTTTTCCCGTGCCTCATCTCATTTGATCCTCACAGAAGTCCTGGAGTGGGTAGATAAGAGACTCAGTAGAATCCTAAGTTTCTTTTCATTAGCCACAAAACGGAGATTTAGAAAGTTTAGAAACTTAACCCAACTGAAAAGAAGTAAGACATGGTGGCCACTGAAAATGACTTCAGGTTTTCTCACTGCACAGAATGTAGTCAAACACTGCTGCAGTTAAATATTTTACCCTTTGTTCTCCCTGGGTGACCGCAGGCCTCATCTCATTTGATCCTCACAGAAGTCCTGGAGTGGGTAGACAGGAGACTCGGTGGAATCCTATTTTCCTTTCATTAACCGGAAAACAGAGATTTAGAAAACTTAGAAACTTGACCCAACTGAAAAGAAAAAATGATGGACCTTGAAAATGACTTCAGGTTTTCTCACTGTGCAGAATATAGTCAAACTCTGCTGCAGTTAAATATTTTGCCCTTTGTTCTCCCTGCGTGATCTACAATAATCTGCTTCTGATATTTACTGCTGTGTTGCTGATAATTACCAGAAAGAGAAGTTGGGGTGCTTCACTGGGCTGGAAAAAGTTTAGCTAAATCAGAAAGCAGGTCTTTTCAAAT